CCAGCGATCACCGCACAAGCGGGATTCGCGCTCCCAAGGCTAAGAACCCATAATCCATGACCCAGATCATTTCCTCCGTGTCCCCCTCCTCCTCCTCCTCACCCGCCTTTTCCACCTCGGCCCCCCAGTGGATGCAAAACTGCTGTCCAGAGGCCCCCGAAAGGCGTGCCGCCAAATCCCGATACACATACAAGAACCTCTCACACATAGACCATAACCCAGAGCCTCATCTCAGTGTCCCCCTCCTCCTCCTCCCCCTCCTCCCCCACCCTCTCCTCGGCCCACTCCTCCTCGTCCCCCTCCTCTTGTGAACCTGGCCCGCTTCACTTCGTCATTTTCGATGCTTCTCCCCCGTCTCCTCCGCCTCATCCCGCATTCCCCTGTCCCCGTTTTCCTTTTTCCCCCCAGCACGCGCGCCCGATTCGGCATCATTTGCAGGTGTTGCACTTCAGGGTGCCTTTCTTTGCGTCGCGCGGGACATTGTGCGGGTCGGGGAACGCCGACTTCGGTAGTCTTCTCTTGCACGCGCCGCTGCACTGATACGCCTGGCAACTGCGAGCTGTGAACCCGAGTTCCTTGCAGCCTCCGCACACCACTTTGGCTCCTTTCGTCTTTCGATGATGTTCCACTTGGTTAGGCGTCAAATGTCTCGTGTCCGAGAACGTTCCTCCGCACGCCGCGCACGTCAGCGGCTTCGCGTCCGCCTCGGCTTTCCGTTTCTTATTATTCGACTCGCGCGTCGCCCTATCTCGTTCTTCCGCGCATTTCCGACACAACCTCTCCCCTGCTGCTTTGTGCTTCTTCTGAGCTTCGGACACCCCCGCCTCCTCTTGGAACTCCGACAGGCAGTCGCTGTTCGAACACCGCAATGTGATCGCGCGTTTCCTGTTATTCGACACTAGCGTCGTCCTCTGACGTTCGGCGGCGCATTTCCGACACAACCTCTGGCCCGCTGCGTTCTGCTTCTTCTGAGCCTCCGACATATCCGCCTTTGCGTCATACAGCGACAGGCACTTACCGTTCGTACATCGCACCTTGCCGACGCACTCGACCCACTTCGCGTTGCCGCTCCGCGACTTCTGCTTGGCTTTGACATGGCTGCACTTCGCGCAATACATTGTCCGAACCCTTCTTGGCTCCCCGCCGCCGGCCGCTGCACCCCCACTCCGATCGTCACCGTGCCGCGTCGCATCTTCACCTTCCGCTCTCGTTGCCCACCCTCTGCACGTGGTGCACCATTTCTCGTCGGCGTTCTTCATCTCTTCCGTGCACTCTTTGCAGAACGCTGGCCTTTCCTTCCTCTGGAACTCGTACTTCGAGAACGCCTCTACCAGCAACCTCCGCCGGCAGCGCTCGCACTGGTCTCTTGGCATCAACTCCGCCTCCACTCATCCCAATCCACGCTCTCCCCTCGTAGTACCTGCAAAAGTTTCTTCGTGCCTGGCATCTCACCTGCGTTGTACGGCCTCCTGTCAAACGGCCGGAAAATCAGCAGGTTCCCCCGTCTGCGCACGCGAGCGATGGCAACGTAACTTGACATCCAACTCACGCCGCGCCCTCTTTCAAGGTCCGCTATCACTGCTCCCATGGTCCGGCCCTGCGCGGAGTGCGCCGTTACTGCCAAAGCCGGGGTTATCATAAACTGGGCGCGTTTCACACTCAACACAGGGTGCTTCCGATACCCATCCAAGAACCATTGCCGACCATTCGAGGGGAAGATCGGATACAGCCCCGGCTCCCACCCGGGCAGGTGCCACTCCTTCGTATTGAAATCCAACACAATCATTTTCGGCATATGCGACAAGACCTCCTCGTCTTCATCTCCCACGACCTCGTCCTTGTGCAGGACCCATCCATGGATCGTGGCTGTACGCCCCCGCAGGAGCTGTTTCTTCGACCGATCCAAGTGATCCCCCAGAGCCACGGGCATCCCTTTGGCCAGCGGCAGCCACCCAGGCAAGCTTGCGCACCCCTTCTCGTGGTACCCCAGCCAACGTATCTTATCCTCCACCGTGTACGGCCGCCGCTGTTCTCCCCCATGGCAAGGGCGGTCCCTCGCTGCGACCCACAGCAGCTGTTCTCCTCGCTGCGTTGCCCATTGCACAGCTCTCTGCTTCCCCACGTGGCAACGAATGTCTTGGTTCGCATAAATGGCGACAGCATCAAGGAATTTCTCCTCCCGAAACCGCGCGTCTTCTGGCGATGTCGCAACGAACTTTCTCTTTTCCCGCTCAGCTTTGCAAGCGTCACATTCGAGCTCGTTTTGCCTCGCAATTGCCTCTATGTCTTCGGGGGGGAGGGGGGGCTCGGGGGTGGGGGGCGGGGAGGGGGGGTCGCGGGGGCGGGGGGGCTTCGCGGCGTGATCGTCGGCGGCGGGGGGAGGTGAGGCGGGGGGGGGTGGAGCGGGGGGAGGCGGGAGACAACGCGTGTTCCCGCACAACGGTGCACCGTTCTCCCACGACCCCGGCACATCCGTCGGTCTGCCATGTAAAAAATTGTG